AGGTTTGGACTCCCACAAAATGTTCCAAGTGCCAACAGAACAGCAAACACATACAGATGAAATGGGGACTGCACTCAGAATGCAGACCCCACTCCAGGGCAGTGGAGAAAATGAACCATAGCTAAAGAAACAAATGACAAAACTGGCAGGAAACTCATCTACATCGAGACCAGATGTTGCCCTTAACCCTGTTCCGAATTCAGGTAGTCCCAGAAGTGGGCTTGAACTGAGCCCTAATTGTATATGGTAAACCTTTCCAGGCAGCTGACCTCAAACCTCCACCTGACCCTAACGAGGATTTGAAGGTGTAGCGGTCTGCACAACACTTCCACTACACACTTTCTATTATTATTAAATTTGCTCTTCCCAGGTCTGCTTCCTTTCCTACAGGTAACCTGCCCCCCTTCCAGCCTGGAGACCGTGTCCTGCTCAAAACATGGAAAGATGGACCTGACTTCCGGTTAGAGGAGACGTGGACCTGGCCTTGGGAGATCCTGATGACCATGCCCAATGCTCTCAAACTTGGGGTCCTCAAGACCTGGACTCACTACACAGAAGTCAAGAAAATTCCTGGAGAACAATGGGCTGTGAAGTCTTCCTCCGATTTCCAGCTGCGAATAAAGCTGCTATGGGTTACTCAGATCGAATCCCCTATTGCCAAATTGAAGATGGCTGTGTATGCTGACGCTGGAGATTGGACTCTCGATTATCCTTGGGATATTTGCTTGCTATTATATTCAACGCTCACCCTGTTGTATGTTGTTGTTGTTGTTGTTAAGTGCTGTGGTGTCGGTTTTGACTCATAGCAACCCTGTACAGATTGCGGAGGCTGTAAATCTTTATGTGAAAAGAAAGCCTCATTTTTCTCCCGCAGAGAACTACTGACTTTGCGGTTTGCAGCCCAATTTGTAACCACTACCCTACCAGAGCTCCTTACCCTGTTGTACAGCATTATGTAAAACTTGTCTTATTCACCTGACAGTTAATCCACTTAACCCAAAATTGAGTGCTGGAGATCAGAGTGACTATTTGTACTTGAAACTAAGCTCCTAATGCCACGTTCAGCTCATTAAAGCCTAGGAATTGGATCTTTATGAGTTCCATTTCATTTTTGACAACTTCCAATTTTCCTAGACTCGGACTTAGTACATTCCATGTTCCAAGGATTTATGGAGGTTTGCAGCAGTTTCTCCTCATTTTTCACTTGTACCCCTTCAGCAAATGAAGGTCCCAAAAGTTTTATTGCATTCCCATCATCCTGGCCAACTCTACTTTGAGGAGACAGCTTTTTCCCAGTCTTACTTTGAGTGCCTTCCAACCTGAGGGGCTCATCTTTTGGCCCTGTCGCTGACAGTGTTCTGCTTCTATACCTAAGGTTTTCATCTTCTGGCAGTATTTCTGACAGTGTGCTATTGTTTTTCAGTAGGCTTTTAGTAATTCAGAAGCAGTCTTCCTCTTCTTTTTCCAAGTCTGTTTTAGTCTGGAGGTGTCTCTGAAAACTATCCACCATGGCTATCCCTGCTGGCATTTAAAATACCAGTGGCACAACATTACAGCAACACACAAGCTACCACTTGAGTGATAAAGTATAAAAAGTAAGTAACCATACTTAAATCAGGTGCTTTAGGATTTAACCTCTCATACACCTGTCATGAGTCCTGGTGTGGTGCTGTGGGTTAATGCGCCAGATTGCAAAGCCGTCTGAACTGCAAGGTTGGCGGTGCAAGCTCATTAGCTGCTCCTTGGAAACCCTGTACAGGGTCGCTATGGGTCAGAACCGACTGGAGGACATTTAACAACAACAACACCTATCATGATCACATGGCTGTTTCTTATAAACTAAGGTCTGAGAGCCTGACCTCATTTTTGACCAATGACCTGCCATCTAACCATTGCTCATAACTACAAAAGGAGACCACGACTTCTATTTTTGACTTCAGTGTTCCTTTTTATGAACACCCAGTTTTCCTCATTGCAATTATTGCTTTCTCTCCATTGTATTATTAATCTGAAATAAATTTTTGTTATACATTTACAACAGTTTGGACTTTGTCCACCAGAACAATTATGCTAGTTAATCCTTAACTATCACTCGGCGGCCTCAGCTATTATCTTAAGATAAATGCACGCTAGCTGAACCCTCATTCAAATCATTATCATCGTCTTGGCTTTAATAAAACTCTTTTAAATTATTTTTCTCCTACAATAGTTCATAGACTCGAGGGCACTTAACAACAACAATCACAGTTCATTTTCGCATTTTAGAAAACCATGCGTGTTCTCTATAAAAGACATAAGGACCTTACGGACAGGTCTCAAATACAAGGGGAACCAATGAACCCCACAGGCACTATTAGATATCCCTGACTTCCCACACGGAACCTCTCCCCTGCTGCACTGAGAGTCCCCGAAGCCGGAAGCAGAAGTGTGCCTTCTCCAGTCGGATCCGCTGCAGCGTTCGATCGCTTGTCTGTCGTCTGCAGCCGGCCTGGTGGGCTCGCAGGGGCCCGCAGCCTCCCGTCCAGGTCCCCGGGCGCCGCCCCGGTTCTCGTGCGCACTCCTGGTCTCTCGGGAGCTCCTCTGGCCCGGGAGCCGCCGCCGCTTGTGGACGCCGCGGAGCTGGGGTGGGGCTGCGCGCCTTGGTACGTTCCTAGGTACGATCGTGTGCGTCCTGCGGATTCGGGTGTGGGACTCGGGGGCGCCGGGGGTCTTTTCTTCGTACCTCCCCGCCCCATCCAGACTCATCCGCCACCACCCGCACCCCAGCGCACACACGGGCCCACCACCACGGTCCCCCCTCCCCCCAGGCCCGTTTGTGCATTTCCCATGTAGTGAGCGGTGCCCCAAAGGCTGGCACCGTCCTAATACCACATGCAGATGATGCAGCCGTGCCCGCTGGGCACTGACCACAAGGCGGAGTCCTGGTTAGCGCTGCGGGATCGCGCGCTGGACCGCAAGGTCAGTTTGAACCGCAAGGTCGCCCTTTCCTCCGAAACCCTTCACAGGGTCGCAATGAGTCGGAACCGACTCGATGGCTCCTGCAACTACTGCTGCTTCTCACAGAACACCGTGAGGTAGGGAGTGTTTGCGTCTTTTTACAGAAGCAGTGGTTTGGGAGAAATCAGCCTGCTTGTCCACGGACAAAATCTCATAGGGGCCAGTGTCTGAACTCAAACTCAGGCCTGTTCTGCTTCAAGGGGCATATTCTTGGTCACCATTTTCCTGCCTCAAAAGGTTGCCCTTTTTCTGTGCTTCATCAGTGAGGATTTATATTGAGATTGTTGGCTAGACCATAATGAAAATTATGGTGGAGACTACGTTCCCCTCCTGTAACGGTTATAGGTACTTGAGACAGATGAGGAATTAACCATGAGTTGAAACTATTGTATACATTTATAACCATATTTTTCCTAGTTTCAAGAGGAAAACATTTAGCAAGAGTCATGATTTGAGGAATTTCTTTGGCTTTAAGGTTGGAGTTTTCATCGTGTTTGTTTGAGAAAGAATGTGGCTGATGCTGGTTATTTTAATAAAAACATGCTGTTACTATATTGTAATAGGATATCCTATACAGGGTCGCTGTTGGTTGGAATCCACTCAATGGCACTTAACAAAACAACAACCAGTGTGTGTGACCTGTTTTGGGTTGGGGTGCTTGGGATTGAACCACAAGTTTTGCTACCAAAAAACCACACTTCTTAAAAGTTACAAATGCTCCTTGGAGCACAAATGTGGCATTTTCCCAATGTTAGAACAACAATTAGTAATGAGGGGAAAATGAGAGACATGCTGCTCCTTGGAAACCGTATCCAGGGTCGCTATGGGTCAGAACCGACTCGATGGCACATAACAACAAAAATGAAAGGAATTAAACTCCTTTAGCAGACCCTACAGGGTCAGCCACACCAGAGTGTTGGAAAAAGTACTTCATCTTTAGTGATTAATTTTTTTACAATGTAAAAGAGTCACATAGGGCATCCCTGCAGGCAGAAGAGGTTGACATTACTATCGGAAAGGTTGGTGGTTTGAATCTACCCAGATGTTCCTAGGATGACAGGCCTGCCTGTTTGGTTCCAGAATGTCACGTGTTTGCTCTTACGATGCACATTTAAAGGGTCGAAATATAAGAGAAATCACTGTGTAAGAAATCATTGGGAACTTCAGTACCATCAACAGAATTCCCTCCCTTTTTGCCCTTTTAACCGAAAATTAAAACAACTATGATTTGTTTCTCTGTCTGGATGCAGTCCTGGTTTTGTTTTTCTAAGTGGTGTTACTCATGTTAGTAACAAGGCGATCCAGACCCAGTTACCTAGAGAAATGTGTCTTATACACACTGTACTTCCTCAAGTGTGATTGTATTTCTCTAGCTTAGTACAGCCTAAGGTTGGCTTTGGAAATACCTACTTTCTTCCCTATATCCCCACAGAATTTAAACTTCTTTCCTTATACATTCAGACTCTGAATCTTGATTTTTTTTTAAACAATTATTTTTAAATGGTGTCATTTCATGCTGTCTATTTCTGTGTGGGATGATAAAATGTAACAGAACCTTTTCTAGTTTCAATCACTTGTACATGTAGAATCCACATGTTATTTCACACCATCTTGTGTGTCCCTCCCCACGATCAGTTTCTTCATTTTCCATCACCCTGAGCATCCTGTGGGGTCTTAAGGGCCTTAAGAGGGGTTAAGTGCTGTCTAGTCGCTTCCAACCCAAAGCGACCCTGTATAGGGTTTCTGAGGAGCAGCTGGTACAAACCTTAAGGTTCAAACCGTGCTTTATCCTACAGTGCCACACCAGGACTCCCTTGTTAGGCCTTGGTGCCCGCGAAACATTAATCTCCTCCTCCTTCCCACTGGTAATCATTTGGTCTCTACACATTTGGCTAGTCTAGAGATTTTGGTAAGTTTGTCTTTTCGTGTCTAACCGATTGCATGTAACATGGGCTTTCAAGACATGTCCCTGTCATGGCGTCTGTGGGCACGTCCTAACCTTTTCTAGCTGAATAGAGCCAGTTTCCTCTGCCCATGTGTGGACATTTGTTCCTTTCCAATCTGCTGTTGTGAACAGTGCCGCAGTGAACACTGGCTTAAAGCTGTCTGTTGACAGCGTGCGTTCCTGTCGTCATGAGCTGCCAACAGGGTGAAGTTTAAACTCATCATGATACCTTGTAACAGTAGAACTGTCCCTCCCGTAGGGTTTTCTTGGTGCTGTAGGATAAGCACCAGCCTACAAGGTCAGCTTGGACTCCAAAGTTGGTGGTTCAAAGCCACCAGCTGCTCCTTGGAAACAGGATCACTATGGGTCAGAACCGACTTGACAGCACTTCACAACAACAATCTAAATGGAGGAAAGTGCTGTCGCGCCTTATGACAAGCACTGGACTGTGAATCATAAAGTTGGTGGTTCAAGCCCACCAGCTGGTCTGCGGAAGAAAAGGAGGCTTTCTGCTGCCAGAAGATTGAAAACCTTGACTTGGTGGCACTTAACAATAACAGTATGTAGTGCTGTGGGATAATGCACCAGACTACAAGGTCATTTGAACCATGGGGTCGGCTGTTCAAACTCACCAGCTGTTCCTCAAAAACCCTACACAGGCTCGCTATGAGTCTGAACCAACTCCAAGCCACTTAACAGGAACAACAATAACTAAAATAATAATAAGGCAGAATTGTGCTTAAGAGGAGACGCTGGTGTAGTGGCCATGTGAGAGGGATTCTGGTGTGGGAGGGCGGCAGGACAGAGGGACAGGAGCAGTCCTTAGGGAACGCTTTTGATGGTTTACTGATTGATTTGGTGTTGAATTGAGCGACAGATTGTCAGGAGTCCTCCCAGGTCTCTCCAAAGCTTAGGGACACTCTTGGTGTCATGTTTTGACAATGAAGTGGGGGTTGGGGGGGACCAAAAACTCAAGGGAAAGGAAGAGATGCCCTTGTAAAAATAAAAGAAAAACTTGCCGGTTGGGCGGTTCCGCTCAGTACCCGTATTTACAGCGGTGTAAAATGCTGCCTGATCTTGTTCCGCCTTCCCAGTCCTTGCTCTCTCGGAGCCCCGTGTTGCAGGCTCTGTATCGGTCCATGTCATTGAGACCCTTCCTACAATGCAGTCACAGATTGCAGTAAATAATACAAAAGGAAAGAGCCATTGACAAAAGGAGACAGAACTACGTTCGTCTAAAAAATTCACCCATGTAAGTAGCAAAGAACCCACAACTTCAACACTGGACCTTGGACTCCTTGGAGGAGGTCGGGGTCCAGTTTTTCAGCCTGGCCACACCTGGTTGTTTCTCAAGTGGGATGAGTGAATGTCTCCGTGTGAGATCTCTGTGTCAGAATGAAGAGGCCAGCGCAGCTGCTTGAAGAACGCAGGCCTGTTTTCTGGAGTCCAGTCTGGTGTTTCAATGCCTGAGCCTGGAGGAAGCCCACCCCCTGGAGGCTCTTCTGCGCTCAGGGTGGAGCATGACCTGAGCCTGGAGGAAGCCCACGCCCTGGATGCTCTTCTGCGCTCAGGGTGGAGCATGGCCTGAGCCTGGAGGAAACCCACCCCCTGGCCCTCTCTGCTCACTGCCCACTGTCTCCACCCACCCTTTTTCCAGTCCAGGTCTCCAGTGTGCTGCGAGTAGAATCGGCCAGTCCAGAACTAGTGTGCTGCGGATCTGGGGTGACCAGCCTGCACCTCCCTATGTCACAGGCCTGCTGTGTGGACCAAACTGTGTTCATCTGCCTCCAGGCTGCCCAGGGCTCTGTGTCCACTCCTGTCCCTCTTCCTGAAGTGGCTGCTTGGTTTAGAGACGACATTCACACAGACGTCTGGAAGCTGGAGCGAGGAGATGGTGAGTTCTACAGAGAACTGGGCTGTTGTTACCTTAAGAGGGTGAGGCTGGGTTTGAATTGTTGGGGGACCAGCTGTGTACCGTGGGACTGTGGTTCCTCAGTGAAGAGAAAAGGGGACCCAGGAGGCCCAGGGGCCGAGCTCCAGGAAGCGTCTTCCTGCCCTGCTCCAGAGTTTCTGGGCTGGTCCTCTATAGATGTGAGGCTGTGGCTCTAAGAACTGACAAGTGGGGCATTAACACCCCCACCCTGGCCTGGGGACTCTGTGTGGTAGGTCAGTCTCCTGAGCAGACCCTGAGACCAAGCAGCCCTGACTGGCGGCTGAGACCCGCCCTCCAGAACCTTCCTTGTCTGGTAGTCTCCCTTAACCACTTTCTTGACTCCCCGGGGCACAGGACCATTCCATGCAGCTCGTAAACAACAGCCCCCTCCGACACTGTAGGGGGCTAGAAAAGCAGGGAGGGAGTTCTTAGATGAAGAACTGACTGTTTATGGGCCCTGGGTCTAGTTGTTACACTCCTGATGTTACCAAAGGCATGAAGCTGGGGACAGAATCCGGCAGGTTCCATGTGTTTTATTCCCTAACCCCACCCCCACCCCCAGGGGGGAGTGCTCTTACTCATGCTGTCAAGTGTGTGGAAAGCATGAAGGCCCATGCCAGGTCCTGGTCCTACCTATGGCGAGAGCAGCTCATTAATCTCTGTACATTTTGACTGTTCATAGTTCTGAGCTAGAACCTAAAATTGAAGTTCTCTTTTGCTAGAAAATCTCAATTTAGGAGATATATGCATTTGCATTCTTAGGTTTATAGTTCCCACTGGAAGAAAGTTTATAGATTAGTTAGCATATTTCTACTGAGAAAATTTCAATTTAATGGGTATAAATGTCCAAAACACACAAGAATAGCTATTTTAAATGATGTAAAAGTTACTCTAAAGGTTGAGGAGGATCTCAAAGGCTAAGAAGTCATTGTAAAAAGCCTTAATGTGTTAAATAATTTAGCCATTTAGGAATGATCTCCTTGCTAGGACAAAACGGAATTAGAGTCTCTGATATGCCTGGTTATTTTGTGTGGTAAGAACTCCAGTTCATAGTTTTGCGATTTGCACAAGTGTACTAGACCATTTCTACTGGAGAAAAATGGGGAAGTCTACAGCTGTAAAACTGACAGCCTGGGGAAGTCCGCTTGGTGAAGCTGACATGGTGAGGGAAGTCGGCTTCGTGAAACTGACAGCCTGGGGAAGTCGGCTTGGTGAAACTGACATGGTGGGGGAAGTCGGATTCGTGAAACTGACAGCCTTGGAAACTGTGGGCTGATACACTGTAGGGGCTTAAAGACTCTGAATTGAATTGATGGCTAGCAGTTTGGTTTATTAGGTAACTTAGTAACAGCTGAGTATTAAATGATTACATTTTATGCTATTTTGTTATTATAAATGTGAACTCCAAGTAAAAACAGTATCAAATTTGTATCATATTTTTTAAAAGTACAATAATGTTTGCCTTTGTCCTGTTTTTGCTCCTGTTTGAGACTTAATAAAGAGTCTCTAGAGAGATTGACAAGGAGCTCTGGTAGCATAGCGGTTACAAATCGGGCTGCGAATCTTCAGGTCAGCGGTTCGAAACTACCAGCCACTCTGCGGGAGAAAGATGAGGCTATCTACTCCTGTAAAGATTTACACCTTCGGGAAACCCTGTACAGGGTTGCTATGGGTCGGAACTGACTCGACGGCACTTAACAACAACATAGAGGTTGACAGTTCAAACCCACCAGCTGCTCCTTGGAAACCCTATACAGGGTCGCAATGAGTCAGAACCAAATTGACCTCACTTAACAATAACCTAGTATTTGTGGTGGCACTGCAGGACGAACACTAGACTGCTAACCATGAAGTTGGTGGTTCAAACCCACCATCTGCTCCTCAGAAACCTGCACAGGTTCACTATAAATCAGAACGGACTTGATGGCACTAACTGTAACAGCAACATAATACTGTTCCTTAATTTTTAAAAAAAATGAAAGATTCAAAGTGTAATACAGTTTACTAAAATCTTATTTTTCCAATACATAGTACCTTCAATGTTCCTAATTCATATAAACTTTAAAAGTATACTTCTGCCCTAATCCAGCCCAGCCCTCTTTCACCCCTGACCTTTCAAGTAACTGCCTTTCTTTTGGAAACACCAGGTCTTTATATAAAAACAAACAAAATCAATTACACTCTTCTTCTTCTTCTTGCTGTTGTCAGGGGCCATCGAGTCGGAACCGACTCATAGCGACCCCATGCACAGCAGAACGAAACAATGCTCGATCCTGGGCCAACCTCACTACCGCTGCCACAC